AATAGAGACAGTAAGTATGATTGTTATACAAAGTATCAGTCGAACGGAGCACAGAACTGGTAAAAACCAGAATGTAAAGAAGTGATGGAAAAATAGCATATGTGGATGGTGAGGTGAGTGGGCGAGTGGGTGGTGAGATAGATGGGTGGGTAGATGAATGGATTGGATAAAAGTTGGCTATCTTATTTGAAGAATGGAATTGTAGATAGATGGATGGAACTATGTGTAAGTAAAGTAAAGTAAGTAAACATCCCTGTACATGACCTTAGGCGCATCAGGCCTATGGAAAGGGCACCCATATTTTTACAGACCAATCGGCACTCGGTGGGTAATGTGGTCAGCATTACGCCTGCCGTCTTTACTTTCACAGGACAGCCCATCCTGGTACCCATTTGAGGCTGGGTGGACCAGCGACTTCCCATACCACGATAAAAATCTACGCAGCCCGCAGTGGGTTTCGATCGCGGTACGTTGGATTACGATTCAGACTCGAAACGCCTTAGCCACGGACGCCGCAGATCTATGTGTGCTAATATATAAAATCTGGTAAAAACAAGGCTCTCGTGATAAGATTCTTCTATCTTATTGTCAGCTATCAAACAGAGACAGTAAGGATGCTTGTTATACAAATTAATCAGTCCAGCCCACGCGTAAAACTGGTAAAAGCCAGAATGTAAAGGAGAGATGGAAGTATAGATGGGAAAAGTGGCTGATGATGATGATGATAACAAAACACAAATGCACTTGTTCGCAAATTATTCCTCCCCCCCCCCCCACGCCACTTCACGTCAGAAGTGGTTGATGATAATGATGATTACAAAACACAAATGCCCTGGATGGCAAATTATTCCTTTCCAGGCAGCTTAACAGCAGAAGTGGTTGATGATGATGATTACAAAACACAAATGCCCTAAATCGCAAATTATTCCTTTCCACGCCTCTTCACAGCAGAAGTAATTAATGATGATGATGATTACAAAACACAAATGCACTGGATCGCAAATTATTCCTCCCCATGCCGCTTCACGGCAGAAGTACTTGATGATATTGATGATGACAAAACACAAATGCACTGGATCGCGAATTATCACCCCCCCCCCCCCCACGCCACTTCACGGCAGAAGTGGTTGATGATGATGATTACAAAACACAAATGCACTGGATCTTAAATTATTACTCCCCACGCCGCTTCACGGTCAGAAGTGGTTGATGATGATGATTACAAAACACAAATGCACTGGATCGCAAATTATTCCTCCCCACGCCGCTTCACGGTCAGAAGTGGTTGATGATGAGGATTACAAAACACAAATGCACTGGATCGCAGATTATTCCTCTCCACGCTCCTTCACGGTCAGAAGTGGTTGATGATGATGATTACAAAACACAAATGCACTGGATCGCAAATTATTCCTCCGCTTCACGGCAGAAGTAGTTGATGATATTCACAACGCTTCACGGTGAAAGTTGATCATAATGATGATGATGATAAAGCACAAATGCAGTGGATCGCAAAATATTCCTCCCTACGCCGCTTCACGGCAGTAGTAGTTGATGATGATAATGATTACAAAACTCTAATGCACTGGATCGCAACTTAACGGCAGAAGTGGTTGATGATAATGATGATGATGACACAAAACAAAACAATTCACTCTGCGGGAATTTCCCATACAAATTAACACACAGCGCCACGTAATGTACCGGGAATTCCCCATCCCATCCTATCACTACCTAAAATATTAGACTGTTCTGTTGGGGGGATTTAACATAAATGAGCCCAGTTTGGGTCGAATTACAATATTTTATGACAATCATTTTTTTTTTCCACATAAAAAGTCACATTGCCTAATAACGAGTGAGCCCTCCCCTGTCATTACTTAGGCTTCATAGCAGTGCCTAATTGCGCTGATTAATACTCAGCCTGAAGCTTGTGGAATTATATTCCAATCATGGATGAGTTTTTTTTTTCAAGCTGTAAAAGAATATGGGTTTGGGATTGTCAAGGAATGACAAGCCATTACACATCACCCCTAAAAGAGTCGGGACCTGTATTACCTGTGCTCGGCCAAACTTTCAAACTTGGACTCGTCCGGAAAGGTATATAGTCCCTTATATCGATATATGCCTTTATCGGAGGAAATTATAATATCGACATCTTCTAGTTGCTTTGACTTAGCGTCATTTTCAAATTTGCAACTATATGATAAATATTGCTGGAGTTAATTGTATATTCTTAGAAACCGGTTTACTCCTTGCTCATGTATACAAGGAACTTCTTCTTACCGACGCCTGACTTGAATTTTTGCGGCATTGTTTCTGCCGGTTTTTCTAGAGGTCAGATGTATGCATCGACGCCCCAGTAAATTTTACATTAAGAAGGCGGCCTGAAATGTCTAGGACTTTTCTTATGCTTGGGATGAAAACTATGTGAAGAGCTGGCAGAAAGATCACAGTCCAACCAACACCCACCAACTATCAACCAACTACCAAACAACTATCAACCAACTACCCACCCGCTAACACCTGTGAAGTTCCTGACATCATCACTATGGGGTGCCATATACCACAAACAGCCTAACAGTGCAAGAGCTTGGTGTAGCTCAGAGACAGTGTTGTGACCTGACTGGTGGGAGAGACTTGCTGAGTACTGGTACAGCTGCTGTGTCCTCTATGGTGAGGTACTCTTCCACTACCTGATCCAGTTGAAGCAGAATTACCAGGGTCAAAGACAGTCGAATCACCAGGAGCTGAGGGAAGCATCAACAGTGGAACTAGGATAAGTCCAGTTTATGTCTCGATCATGCTATATTCACCACAGCTCCACTGGATTCCGAGGATGAAGATGTGCTACCTCCAGGACTTTCTGGCTGATTAGAATTCTGTTAGGTCTGGTCATTGTATTCTGGGATCCATCCACTGAGATCTGGCATCTACTTCACTATTATATATATTTGTATATGTTGTATTGATTACATGCAATCATTTTCATGGCTGACTTAGGTGCCTCTATTTCACCTTTCTAAGTGTTTAGCATTTGTGTGTGTATGAATCATAAATATTATATGTGTTAACATGGTTATGATAATGAACTATCATAACCTGGGAGCTTTCTTTTAATAGTAGTGGGGGTGTCCAGCCAAGTGTGCCTAGGAATATTGTATTCATATACAGATATATTTTGTAGTGCGCAAACTTGAGTTGCCCTACTCCAGAAATAAGTTGAGCGTATATTGGCCACGGGGCATCCCTTAGACCAATACGAGCCAAACGACTCAACATAATTATTTCTGAGTGCTGTTGGTTCTTAAGGAGAAATCCTTAAATCAGGCACGTGACTGGAGTGATATGTGACAGGGATGTGGCTGTAAATCATGTCTCGTACATCCTCAAGAAGGTTAATTAGGATCATATTAAACTGCTGGCCATGGACAAAGACCATTCATGTTGTTCTGTGCGAGAAATGCAACAGTACTTGCGCACAGTAAAGGATTGCATTGTCGTGCACGGAAGTAAAGCCTTGTCCACTAGTCTAGAAAAAAGGACATACTATGTTGTGTCGGGATATTGCTTTTGCTACAGTTTCTGAGTGATCTTTCCCTGAATTGGTACCTGTTGTGTTCCACAGGGCTCTGTTATTTCTCCCCACACAATGATGCTGCGCTAATAAAACGTTCTAAGAAATGCGAATACAACTAGGAGCAAAACTTGTATGTGGCCAAATCTGCTATCATGCCTTTCCGCCATGAATCTCGACTCCTCTTAAAATATAACAGACTATCAATGCCTTCGAGGTCATGTGACTTGTTCATTTTCCAACATAAGTATTTTCTGGATGCAGAGTAGCTGAAGTCGGGGGTGTCAGATAGGCCAGGGTGGACGTATGTTTGCTTGCCACAAATGGCTAAAACAAGCAGTGTTCAGAGAAGCCTATAAGATATTATGTGGTGCATTTATGTGCCCGTTATCCTTTGAGCGGTTCTATAAATTAACTGTGCGGATGAATCAATTCTGACTTTCTATGGTTTCCTTTGGCCACCATAGATCACTGGTGACGCCAATTACCGATGTCGTACTACATTTGACTGTTTATCTGGAAAATTTAAATGTCCGTAAAACCCTTGAAATTCTTGTACCGATTATGGGTAGCCGATCATCCAATTTCTTTCTGATTCTGTGAGTCTCAACATGGTGATTACACAGCAATTTATTTATATTTACCAATGAAGAATTTGGCGCGAGGATTCAATCTTCGCCGATGCAATAGGTCAACTATTCGGCCCCGATGCGAATACGAAGCGAATATTCGGTACAGCCCTAATTATATATATATATACCGAATATTTGCTTCGTATTCGCATCGGGGCCGAATAGTGGACCTATTGACTATTCGGTATTCGGCCGAATAGTTGCGGTCGAGCCGAATACGAATAATAGTTACCTTACACCCGCTTATGCATACCAGGCCGTAATGCTGACAACATTGAACGATTTCTTTTGTTGAAAGCTTTCCTGCAACAACTAAGTGACAATTTCCAAGTTTAGTTACTTATTATAATACTTAGGATTCTTTCATTCCTAGTTATTAGTTACCACAGACTGACTGAAGGATGCAAAACATAAAATGTTTTTAAATGTTTACTATTCTGTACGAATACTAACTAGACATGGAAAGAATATAAACTCCGGCCACATCCAAGTCGATAATTTGAAAATCAAACGAACGGAAACATATAAGCATTTGGGCGCCCTTCAACATCTATATATATATATATATATATATATATATATATATATATATATATATATATATATATATATATATATATATATATATATATATAAAGTGGGTATTATATGTACTTATGAGTAAATGAATGTATGCGTATGTGTATAATTGAGTGTATATGGTCAAGAATATGAATTGTGTCTATGTATGCATATGTGAATGTGTGTATGTATATATTTTTCTAAAACAAACTCAAGCTCTGAGATTCACCTCACGGAAGGGGCATTTCACAAAAGTAATTCAGATAATATGAGCAATCACTACTCGTGAGCTTCCTCTCGGAGCTGTCATAACTGATGCATTGCTTGGTAGGCTTGCCCAAGAACAAGAGACTAATCTCGTCTTCACTGAGTGCCTCATTATCCTCTTTCCACCGGAATATCCCGTCATTGTCCAGATCATCGCATCCTACCCAGGATTCGCTGGCACTAAAAGCTGCCAACAATATACCTATTCTGTCATATGTTTTCACAGACATGAGGACGCCTCCGAATTTGCGACATCTTTTATCTGCCTCGACGTAATCTGCATAAAATCCCTCACTAACGCATATTGTGGTGAGATTTTGTGTGTACATCTGAAAACCGTTAAGCGTACATGTCAAACTATTGTAGAGGTCTCCCTCGGCCACAGTTGGTAGCTGCTGCTGAGAATCAAAACTGGAACTTGGTGTGCAAAGTCCCGTAGTGGAGTTGTACAGGAAACTCCAGCATGTGCTGTATTTATCCATGCATTTGCTGGCACATGAGATTTGCGAAGGTGATGTCCAGCTGCCACCTAAACGTCTAGGACCTAGGCTTGGGTTGTTGACCAACCCGAAGGAACGGTATCTGGTTGAAGTGGGTAATGTCATTGGTCCTGAAGTTAAAGCAACTGAAAAAAAAAAAAGCGGACAAGGGTTGAGGAAACAGTACAAAAACTCAGATAATATTTACTGAACAGTCATGGCGAGGCGGGCACGTTCGTTCGTTCGTTCGATTACAATTGACCATGTTCAGCCTCTGAATATGGGGCTAGCCTCGTCCGTGTCAATATCGGTTATAATTATGGCAACAGATTCTGTTGTTATTTCATTGTGTAGGGTTTGATGCTAGTATTATATGTCTTCCTTGTCTATCTGACCGCCCAGGTCGTGTCCGTCTCATTATGCAGGTTTAGATCTGACTAGGTCATGTGTTGGTTATTGTGCCATCCGTTGGTGTCCTTGTCTTTGGTCCACAATGGTTCAAGCGGATGACAGAGATCGCTTAAGAATAACCCCATTGTTTATGCTATTTGTTTAAGCTGGGAAATATATTTTATAATTGTGTCAGCTACTCTGATACTTCCGATCAACACTTGTATATGCGTAATATAATATTGTCACCCCTATCGTCAATTGTTTTCTGACAGTTTATATTTCGTATTATTGTACGTAATCTTTGTCATTTTTCTCTCGGGTCTTTTGGATTTATATGCATCACACACTTCGGGTGCCCTCTTCTTTCAGTTTTCATGAGTGACTTTCTTACGCCTGTTGACAAACATTTACTGTATTGTCTTTTAGCTTAAGAGAACCGATGTCGTTTAGGGGCTAGACGCTCGCCTGAACATGTTCATAATTAAATATAGATCCATCTTCTTTTTCTTCTGCAGCATTTCAAGCCCTTGAGGTTCATTGCTGCAGATATTACCCGCCTCCATTCATCTCTCTATTTGGCCTTCTCTTTCCGGTTGGTGACACCAAGTGTTTGCAGGTCTGTCTGGATATTATCTCTCCATCGTCTTCTTGTTCTGACTCGTGTTTACAGTTTTTTCTTCTCTGTAAATACAGATACATGAGTATAATAAATATATACTCGTGTGTGTGTGTATGTCTGTGTGTGTGTGTGTGTGTAGCGGCTAGATACTTACCAGCGAAATCCGATTGTTTTTCTTTCAAAGAATTGTTTAGTTATTCTTCATTTGTCAGCCCCATAGAGCACTACTGATGTGACACATAGACAGAAACATAATGGATAGACAGTATTTTAAAAGACTTACCTTGGTACACAGTGCTTAGAAGCAATAGATGGAGCATCGTGTCATCAAATACACACGAGCCGTTAAAGAATATTGGTTATGACGAAGTTACAGATTCTAGCAATTTCTGCCGCTGGTATGCCTACAACAACAACAACAAAACAAAGTTAATTGCGTATCCCTTACAGGACATTGCAGAACCAACCCCAGCATTTTTGGCTGTTGTGGTTTTTCTAGGCAAATCTACGTCCAGGAGTTTGTCATTGCTTTCTGGACGGTAGGCTTCTAGATACCACTGCTGAAACCAGTGCTAGGCGTAAAGCCCGCAGCTGAGATCGAAAGCGGCACTTAGGCATTACGAAGCTCGTTCGCAACGCCTAACCCACTGACGCCGCCATGCCTACAACAGTCTAAGATTTATACACTAAAGCAGGAGTGACCAGAAGAGATAAAAATTAGGAATCCTGTCGTATGAGAAACTAATTTGGCACATAAGCAATGCTAAATTACATACAAACACGGCAACAAATGGTTTGCCCACTTAAAGAGAATACCCTGTGACGCCAAACTATAAGACAAAAGAGGAGAGGGACGTAGAGCATAAGGTAGAACCAGAAACGGATAACATTAAAAGATAACATCAGAGATACTCTGCAACATTACGATGTGTCTATGGTCTAGGCGGTTGGAAGAGCAGGAAATGGAACCTTATATTTTTCTCGAACCTGTAGAACAGATGGTGAAGAAGATTTCGTCTTATACGTTCTGTGACATGTTCTGGCCAACTTTGCTGTAGGTGGTGTCAGTAAAACTCTTATTAGTCCTAAAACATAATTAAATACACGGGCAACTGGATGCTTTGAATGACATAATTTAGTCCAGTTCGCTTGTCGGGTTCAGTTACCGAGGGTGGGGGGGGGGGGGGGGGGGGGGGTAGGCCCACTACCACCTTACTAGCATGTCGTAAAAGTCGACTGATTTTGGGATTTTCCTTTGAAGTCAGCACTCTCTCAATACAGGTAAGCCAATCTGCAAAACGAATGAGCACAAAAAAACTCGAGCTCTGAAGCATGATCAATATCCAGAAGAGAACTAACTACTAAAACTTTCACTCGGAGTTTACAGCGGGTGAAAGTGCCGAAGATCAAATTATGAATATGAATCAAGGGAGTCGCATTGGCCAAGCGGCTAGACGCTCGTCGTGGATCGGAAGTTCGTGGGTTCGCTCCCTGGCGAAGCCGGACTTTTTTCAAAAATGACCTTGGCTCCCAGGTCGAACCCAGCCTTGAGTGGGTACCGGGTGCAGTCCCGGGAAAGTAAAGGCGGTCGGCGCGATGCTGACCACATCACCCATCTTGTGCCGATTGGTCTATAAAAAATATAGGTCTAGCCCTATATGCCCTATAGCCTGATGGCGTGGGAAAGGGTCCGTAATTTTTACTTTTTTTATATGAATCAAGAATTGGCATCACTGCACTCGCGACATTATTTGTCTCCTTCTTTAGTGGCCAACGTACCAGTTGCAACCTGATTGAGGTTTGAGGTTTCAACAACGGATCAACATCATAGCACACGGGTAGTAACCCATAAGTGCTTCGCGCTTCTTCTAGCTCAAGCCTGAGTGCGAAGAAGCTCAGCACATTGCGCAGGCTCGGTAGCACCGGCGAGGATCCGGAAATACTTTGGGTAGATTTTTAACTCCAAACTTTTTGCCCGGGCAGCGCCGTTAGGCTACTCTTTTTGATTTTCCACTGCCGAGGGATTTTTAAAGTGCGAAACAATGCACACGGGCGTCCAATTTCACTACCCAGAGACCAGGGGGAATTACTAGAAGTCCAAGTCCACGTGAAAACATACCAGCCCTTTCCGGGATTGAACCCGGATCCTCTAGCACTCGAGGCGTACATCGTGCGTCGATACCATGCAGCTCTCCGCAACCTGATTAAAAATCAGCTATGTAAGGATAAGACAGGTTAGTTGCGTATCCTTTACAGGACGTTGCAGGCTGTTGTGTTGGTTTTCTAGGCAAATTTACGTCCAGTAGTTTGCCATTGCTTTATTGACGGTCGGCTTTCCTAATACCACTGTCGAAACCAACGCAAGGCGCATGGCCCGCAGCTGGAATCGAACCCGGCATCCTGGCATTACGAAGAAGGGTAAGAAGGATTGAGAAATTTAACAACAAAAGCTACACGAACAGCTCTGGCATGTAACAAGAATCAAACGAGTAAATTTAAGCAATAGAGAATACACTGTCACCGAGCTGTCACCAAGAACTACGCAGGAGGCAAACACAACTTGCAATGTTTTATATGCCCAGTCCTCGCTGCTTCTATTATTCTAAGCTACTTGTTTTTCCCGCCACTATGGGAACATAGGGTATTGAGTGGTTCTGAATATGTGAATGAGTGGTCCCCCAGTTAACGCTGCTGATGTTGTGTGAAATGTTATCAAGAAAAATGTAGAGGATCTTTTTCGCCTCTAAGCGTATTGAGCATATATGGCTAAACTAAGATCGTCTCCATCTGACGGGCCATGCTGCTGACGCCACAAGACCGGGCTAACGATACGTTAAATTTTCACTCTGGCAGTCGTGTTTTTTCTGTGTGTTCCCTGCTGTCCCACACAACAATTCTAGGAGTAAGCTTGAGAATTAAACATATATATAATTACAACCAATATGACAACATAGAAACATAAAGTGCAACAGAAACTACTTACTTTTTCAGCTGCAGTATGTCCTATAATGTAGTCACAAAATACTGTGTAAATTTAAATTATTCAGTGAATTTAGCCAAACTTCTTTTCTTGGATGATTTATCCAGCAAAGATGTGTCGTTTTGGACTTTCCTATATTATTCAGAAAAAAGTGTTTGCCAGAGATGGCAGCGCTTTGGATGCTATGTTTACTTTAGAGCAACCCTCACCACAGACATCACCTATTTCATCTCTGAAATTTACGTGTAAACTGCATGAAACAATATGCATAAGCAATTTTTTGGTGCTGTTTGCAGGCTAGAAATTTTCTACCTTATGTTTCTATATTCTCATATTTTGTGTAACTATATATACATATATATATATATATATATATATATATATATATATATATATATATATATATATATATGTGTGTGTGTGTGTGTTTAATTCTCAAGCTTATTCTAATGAATTTTCTTGGCGGATGGCAGGGAACATACCGAAAAACGGGTACTGTCAGAGTGAAAACTTTAGTATCGTTAGCCCAGTTTGGTGACGTCAGCAGCATGACCTGTCAGATGGAGACGGTCTTGGCTAGACTGGTATTTTATAGACTATATGGCACTGTTGTCCACATCACATCGGCCGTCTTCACTTCCCCGGACTTCGCACGATACCCGTTTAAGGCTGGGGCGACCTGGACACCAAGGTCATTTAAAAAAATAAATCCAGGTCTGTTAGGAATTGAACCTACAACATTCATATCTGTGATATACAAGCGTACCTGTATTTTAGTGACCAGTCGCCACTCGATGGTACCAATTATAAGGCTGGGTCCACCTAGGACCAAGATAACTTTTGAAAGAAAAAAAAAATCAGTCACCATTCTGTAAAATGTTAGAGGCAGTGTTCTTCAACTTGTGTTCCATTGCAATACCCTGGTGGTTAGCTCAAAATTCTGCGTATCCTTGAACGCACGATTCTGCGCTACACTGCTGCATAACAAGTGCCACATCGGATTTTGGGACATCAGATTAAACATTTAAACTGCTTTTCCTCAATCAGCGCATCCTTTTCAGAACGTCGGTCTCGTCACCGTTCGCTTGAAAGTCTCTCTTTCTCTAGCCAATTCTCCAGCTCTATGTGCTTTCACAGCCAATGCATCTTCAACATCTTGTACTCACGTTCACGGAGATCTGCCTCTGCCTAGATTTCCGACAACTGTACTTTACATCAACGTTTTTTCCAGGCCATTTTGAAGTTTATCATACCCAAAATACCTCACCTTTTTGAATAGGATGCTGTTTATGAGCCAATTATTTTGAATGTTCAGAGCATGCAGGATACCGGTGTTCGCCTTCTTCTTCATCCATAGCACACTGAGAATGTTTCGTTAACATTTCAGTTGAAATCGACACAAGACGATTACTATTTTATGGACAGACCAGAGCAAGTTATTATTCTAAGCCTTAGAAAAGGACACAGTCGACTTAGCAGCCACATGTACACAACATTTAATGTGCACATGTTGATAGGTACCCGAGACAACAAATCATGTCCTCTAAGACTGTCCTAAATACAAAATATCAAGGCAAAACTATTGGCCAAGAGAAACATCGGTGCAATTCAAAGTTTACGGGCCGCTGAGCGAATTACAAAAGACAGTGAAGTTAATACTAGAGACAACATTGCAGATATAGATAATTTATTTCAAGCGAACGAAAGAAGACGAAGAAAAGTAAACGTTGTGACAGTACAATTGGCTGATTTTGTTAAATTGATTCATGAACCTTTTGATTGACTTATTACCTGACTGATAAAGGGGCTGACTTACTTATTGATCAGCGAACTGGTTATTTGACTGATTGATTGACTAATCAATAGACCGACTGGCTAGTTTTTTTTTTTTATTGACTGACTAATTGTCTGATATACTGACTTCCTGGTTCATTTACTGATTGTGTGAATAGTTAGCTAATGATAAATTTGTAAGTTAGTTAATAAACTAACTCAAACTTTGGGAATCGCTGGCATTTTTTTGTTGTTGTTTTGTTCGAAATACCATTTTACACAGACCCTGATTAAGAAATCAAACACTGAGTGAAAGAGAACTAGCATTATTCTGTATTATAACAGACCATCCTAAACAAACATAATCCTTTGTTACAAATCACTGAAGACTACCTGACAAGATCGTTTTCCAGTCACGTGATGTGGTGTTCTCTTTCCAATTACGTAACGATGTGTATTAAAAGGGTTTTTTTTTTGTTGTTTGTCAGGAGTCCTATTTCTGTATTATTATCGCGAACAAAGCAAAGCTCTCTGTCGACTGATCAGTTACGTATAACGTTTTTTTTTTAAACTGAATATAAGACTGGGTCTTAAAATATTTTGATTCAAAAGACACCGTGTGGCTTATCTTTAGGTATCGTCTTACATGATATCGACATTGCTTCAAATTCTCGTAAAGATCCATTTTCACGCCTTAGACGCATCGGGCATATGGTAAGAGCATCCCATATTTTTACAGACCAACCGGCACTAGGCGGGTAATGTGGTCAGAATTACGCCAGTCGTCTTTACTTCCGCAGGACAGCCATCCTGGTAACATTTTGGGCTGTGTCGACCTGCGACGCACCATGCCATGGTAAAAATCCACGCAGCCAGCACGTTGGAATTACTAGTCGGGCTCGCAACGCCTAAGCCACGGACGTCGCTTCATTCAAACTAATATACATTTATTAAAGTACAACAATTTACATTTATGGAAAATTTTGCACTTGAGATTGTCAGTGAGAGGATTTTTTATATTTATTCAGATTCGAATCAACAGATCAACATCATGGCACACAGTTAGTAACCCATAAGTGCTCCGTTCTTCTTCTATCTCAAGTCTGAGTCCGAATAAGTTCAGCACAGTGCACAGGCTCTGTAGCCCCGGCGTGGATTCTGAAATACTTTGGGTAGATTTTAAACTCCAAATTTTGCCTGGGCAGCGCCGTTAGGCTACTCTTTTCGATTTCCAACTGCCAAAGGATTTTTTACGTGCGCAACAATGCATACTGGCGTCCGATCTCACTACCCAAAGACCAAGGAAAATTACTAGAAGTCCAAGTCCACGTGAAATAATCCCAGCCCTTACCGGGGATTGAACCCATGCCTCGAGACTCCATGATGCTTGAGAAGTAACGAATACCTTCTCCAGAAAATGACTTTTGAAGTTTCAACCACTTTCTTCATCACAAACCGCAGAGTGATATATTTATTTTGTTAATGGTGCTAGGGTTGAATCGTTGTTCTTTTAGTTTGAGTCTTGCAATAATAAGGCAGCATGCAATAATACATTCCCAATTATCAAAATATATTTTTAAAAAAAAGCTGATGCACTTTTTCGGATTCCTTTGTGGGCAGTATCCACGACCGTCTCTCCTAACGTGTCTCAATGCTTAATACAACGTCTTCTATCAAATCAAAGTGAATGACCCCTGTGTGGGTTCCGGGGCCCCATTGTGGGGAAAACAAGAATAGACCCACTGCCTCCCCAAAAGCATGTTGTAAGAGTCAACTAATTGGGGAGCTTCCTTTGAAGACGGAGTGCGTCTGCCGGAGAGGCAAGGAACCAACAGTCTGTATTCAAGAGAATGAGATCTGTAAAACTGATGCACACGCAACACTCAGGTTCTGGAGCAGGACTGCAGTTCAGTAGTAGACGAGCAACCAGAACCTTCCGCCAGAGTTTACAGCTGGTGAACGCGAAGAAGAAGAAGAAAGTGAATGCTTGCTTCTAAACAATTGGTTCGTTAAACTGAGCCATGATTGCCAATATACCGTGCATTCATTTGTAAAAAGGTATTTGAGACTGGTGTCGTTGTGATCAGCATTCATAAGAGTTGAGTGTCGAGTGTTGAACTAAGGACTGATATCACAGCAGTGGAGACATTCCCGTAAACACTTTGTCCTCATCTTCAGCAAGCAGCGAAGAGTTGCATATCCGATGGTGTCAGTAGTATTTTAATTATATGTCCCTCTTGCTTTTCCTGCGAGTGTAAACCGGATCCCCTTCTCGCTGCCAGATGTAACATTCTCTCCAGACCATAATGATCGATTCGTGCGTTTGCGTTGTTCACTTGCTCCCAAAGGTTCTTGATGTCATGCAGCTTGTAATGCACACACTGACCACCTATCGGTGCAGAACCGCACAATCTGCCTGGATGATCATTTCCTAACACTTCTGCATGTGCAGGAGAAAATATAAAAAGAACGCTAACTATGCGAAACCTCCGAAGCGATCTTGCCACTTCAGCAGCGAGCGTAGTTTCAATTCTAATGGTTCTATTTTTTTTCCAGCCGGGCTAGTCTCTCCTCACGGGGAAACCACCCGGCTCTGGGTTTGAATGGCTCATGCCGTGATAATTACTCCCGTGAGTTCGGGACCGATCCAGGCGCTTCTGGCCAGACCAAATGCACCGCAGTCTGGTTATATTATATGTGTCTTGCCTTTGATCTGAGAGCCGGTCAAACCTTGTGGTCACACCTAGGTGCATCATTCTCTCCCGGCCATAATAATCCATTTCTCTTCTGACTTCGCTGCTTGTTCCCAAAGGGCCTTGACCACATCTGCCTTGTCATGCATCAATTCACCAACCAGTGGTGCAGATCCCGCTAACCTATCTGCTTGTTTATTTCCCACCGCGCCGGTACCGCCTAGAGAACCATCAAACCCCTGCTATTTCAGCATAGGTGGCAGCACTCATCTCAGTACACAGTCCATTCACTGTGTCCACTGTGATCTGTAACTTTCGGGCTATCTGTCGCCTATTTCTTCCCTAAAGGTAAAGGTGAAGTCGGGAGTTGTGAACCAGCGTCACTGCACACAGTTATAAACCATAAGTGATCTGCCACCAGTACAGACAGCTGATAAAAATTGTCCGCCTGTGTAGCCCTTCGCACGTAATTCTGCAGCTACAGCGACGTTCCTCCATTTACCCCAGAGTATCACTCTGGTACCCATTTCCTAGAAGCTGGGTGAACTCCGGAACCGTCCGGTTTCGAACACAGACCTTGGCTGCAGCGAGTCGCAGCTAGATTTGAAAGCGAACTTCTTATCGACTGCGCGCTGCTTGTAAGAAAGAATATAATCTGCAAATTTTGGTATAACATAATATGGACAATAGGGACACATGCATACAAGAACTGGTAGTAAAGGACTTATGAATGGCATCCTTTTGTGGGATGCAATTTTTTCGTTATTTTGAAGCCCTACTCTAGCAATTGTCAGGGGCCGCAATATAGCCAGGCCACAAACATGGTCTAATGGCTGAACGCCGTTTCTGCGACCTCTCCACGGGTGATCCTCATCCACATGATGGACTTTGTGTCATCAGGTGTTTATCGCTTGTGTGATGTCCTGGTGGGGTCAAAGAAGATAGATAGATAAAGAGCTTTTTACCACTCTAATTTTGGCAACTAGCAAATGGTGCTAACTCTACATTTTTTTTATAGACCTGTTGGTGACGCCACTGGGGGACTGCAAAACATTTCTACCCAATCCGGTAACGCGTCAGGGTATAGTTTTTCATCTTCCAGAGTTGCGGTGTATAGGATGAACAACTTAAGGATGAGAATCAAGCATGTACAAGTGATATTCAACATAAAAAGTCCCCATTTGAAGACGTTAGCTGAAAATTGAACATCATAAAATATAAAAGCTGATCGATTGGCTTCTGGTGTAAGTCTTGGGTCCAGTAATAAGTAAAATGCAATCTCTGAGCCTTAGATCATCACTTCGAAAATCTTGTCTTTGTTTGAGTAATAAAGCTATCAGATTGTTGGACTATTTTCGACTTCCTATTTGTGTCGAAAAACTTTCTCAATCATGTCAGTATTAAAAATAAAAGTCTTTGTGATTTCAAATAAGATCGACAGTTTCTTTTAGGGTGATTAGTTGACTGACGTTAAACTCCAACAGGAAATTACACCAAGCGATAAACACGCGGTGACACAAAGTGCCACCATTCGGATGAGAATCACCCTAAGACAGGAACCAGGAAATCCGTTCAACGCGTAGATAGGGTGATATTAGGGGCCCCGGCAACAGACGGAACAGGGCTTTAAAATAACGAAAAATTGCGTCTATTATTCGTTTTGTTTCTTTGGTTTATGGGGACCTCGTTTTATATTTGCTTTTGTGGAAACAAAAAAGGGTTTGGACCCATCACTCTTAGCAAGTTCGTCTTAAAAAGTGACTAAATTAGTTGTTTGTTAATCGCGATTTTAAGGCGAACGCGAAAGAAGAAGAAAGAAAGAAAAATGATCGCTAGTTTCTGCTACAGATCAGATATCTTTAAAAAAAATCTGACGTCATAATACACACACCCGCCCCGCTTTCCCGTATCATTAATGCATGTCCTAGTGGTAACTGCAACGACACGCCGAAACGGCAAAATGAAAGAAGTGGCAATGGAAAGTTAGGCTAAAAAGAGTGTTATACTGCACAGTGTGGGTGCCTGGTTTGAAACTTGATTAGTTTACAAATAGCAACATTGGGAAATAACTCTGAGGCAATTGTTAATGCTTCTGCTTGTTACTGCTATCAATAGATTTAGCGAGGGTTGCCAGTTTGTACGAGAATTCTAGCCTCTTATTACACGCTGAGATCACCGTACCAAGATTACCGTATGGGTTCACAGATCCCGTTTTGTGTGACCAAAAAAAAAAAAATGTATTCTAATAAAGCATTTTAATAAGCATGTGGTAACTGGTGATTAAATCAGGGTTTGCTGAAACTGGGTGTGTTGGAACGAAAGGCACAGATATCGCAACACAACTGTAATCCGCATATTGTTTCATCCGTCCTGTTATGAGATGACAAAATAGAACTCAAATAAAACCATGATGTTTACCGAAGAACAGTAATGACAGATTTAGTTCACAAAAGCAGCGTCTCTCTCTCTCTCTCTCTCTCTCTCTCTCTCTCTCTCTGTGTTTTACACACCTCGTCTGCTTTTAACCCTCAGAAGAAGCAGCGTTAAACGAGCACAGTGGTAGACACGGGATGACATAAATGCACTGGCCATAAAATTTCACGATCCAGGAAAATTTTCTTAAGAAATAACGAAATTCCTGAGTACCGGATTATATACACAGCTTTGCCATTGAAGAAGAGGGGTCAGTACTAAAATCTGCCGTTTCGTATTGCCAGAAAAAGCCCCCCCCCCCATCCCACCCCAAAACCCCCTCTCTTTCACCTTTTCTCTCTCTCTCTCTACACACACACACACAAACATACACATACATGCATACATTTATACCCTCCCCCGCACCCCCACAAACTTCTTATAGCCTATGCCCACAGGTGAGCCAAACAAAAAAAATATGAAGACATATATATATATATATATATATATATATATAGAGAGAGAGAGAGAGAGAGAGAGAGAAAGAGAGAGAGAGAGTCGTAGCTCAACCTTGTTTTTAAAATAATATTTTACAGAAAAAAAATCTGACAGCCTTTTCTCCCTTTTTTTAAAATTTGTTGTGGGAAGGATTTTTGGGGATAGAATTTGGAGGTAATAGTAACAATAAGAGTAATAATAAATGGTGCTTGTAGTGCGCTAGAAACAAAAACGTGCATATAATAGAATACAACACAGTGCGGAGTGGCGGAGGGCTGACGGTTAAGACCCTGGCCTTTCATAAGAAAGGCCTGGGTTCGAATCCTTAGTAAGGTTTAGGTTTTTTTTCTGAGGGAATTAAACAACCCTACCCTGAAATCCCTTTCAAATGCACTACCTATGCGAACCCAAATCCTCCGGCTCAAAGATGCCTCTGTCTAAACCGTAATAGAGTTAAGTGCAGGCAGTGATAAAACACTGACACAATACTTTAACTGCAAGTGGCTGTAAATGCCTGGCAACAATGGAAAATTTTCACGTCTGGTATTTGGTCTAATGGAGGGTTTCTTTTGGCTGTTCTACACGGATTGTTGTTGTTAGCCTTTCTTCTAGTTTCTCTTCTTCCTTATTCCATCCTCAAATGGTGAGTTATGTTTTAAATAATGATATAGCATAGTTTTGTGAATTATTTACCGCATTGTTTATGTCTGAGTGTCAAGAAACAACGAAACATGCAGCTGTTTATTTGGAGCTGTGATCTCATTCTCAGAACTCAAAAACAAACTTGACCTACGTCTCGTCGTGCAGTTAACAGTGTGCATTGACTGAATCGACTACGACTAGGAA